TTTTATACTTTTTCTCCTTATTCTTTCTTAGCTGGCAAAGCCCTATTAAGCTTTTCAAACACATGAATCTACCTAACATTCTAATGTTAAGTGAATACTGCCCTGGAACTCATTGTGTAGATCAGGCTAGGATTTAATCCTGAATGCTGGAATTAAAGGTGTGTACCACCACTGCCTGTTTTTTGTTTTTTTTTGTGTTTTGTTTTGTTTTTTTTTTTTAACACTTTTATGGTTCCTTTTTAATTGACAGTAATATTTCATACAATATATTCTGATCACAGTGTCCCTTCCTCCAAACACTCCCAATTCCTCCGCAACTCCCCATTCACCCAATTACCAGCCTGTCTCTGTCTCTCTGTCTTTAGAAAACAGACAAAACAATAAGAATAAAAAATAAAAATGATGAGAAATACTCACACAAACATACAACCCATAAAAACACAAAATCTGAAACCATAATATGTTTAAATCTACCTGACATTTATCCTGATAGAATTTCCCAAGGCACAGTAGCATTTGAATAAGGTTCTGAATAGTATGGAGAATGCTTTTGTTAGAACCTTTCCAAGTCAGTAACATCATCAAGCACCTGCCTTAGGTTATTGTTGAGATGTTATTCAATGTTTATATGAGAAACTTGTAAATTGTAAGTGGGATAAACACTCCATTCACTTAGAATAAAAGTCTACGATTGTGTTGTAACGTAAAGCAAAGAAAATGTAGCTACACTCTTTTCTTTTTTCAAGTCCAAATCCATCACCTACTTCTGATTCTTATTCTGTCTTTCTAAAGAAAACTATTAAATGGATATTGAACAAAGTACATAGTTCTTTTCAGTGCAAGCTTTCTGTCTTAACTATTACTAGAATATATGCTCGGACAAATGTCAAGAAGACCTTTCTACTGGGCTAGCTTCTGATGCAAACAGTCCATTTAAATTTATTTATTTAGAAAGGCTTTAACTTTTAAGAGAAGCTGAAGAGCATGACAAATCTCCCAGTAGTCCCACCATAAATTGCAAAGAAAGATCAGCTGATAAAAGGTTTCTTCTCTTCTCCCACTGGCTACATTCCCTGTCCATTAGTACACCACAAGGACAGCTTGTGAATGTCACTGTCTGAAAACAGGCCCAGAAATTTATTAGACCTGCTTTAACAAGAGACAATTGCCATGAACATTTTCACTCAGCAATTACTTGCACTAACAAATTCTAAAGCATCATTTAATAATTCTAAACACAAAGGTGATGACCAACTCTGAAAACACCAGCCCCTTTATCCCATGACCTCATTCTTTATTCAGGCAACCTACTTCCCTGAACAATCATTCCTTTTACTGACCACACCCTTGAACAACAATTTCTCAAAGCAACACACCCCTCCACCCAGAACAAGAAAAATTTCTGGTAGTAAATAGAAATCTTAACACAGTAGGGAAGTCATTCATAGCCTTTGCAACCAAAGACACAGGAAAACAATAATGTAAACGAACCTATGCCACATGAATACTTCTGGCAGGGAAGGTCATTTACAAATTCACATTTACCTCCAAGCTGCTCTCTGAAGTCAGAATTATTTTATTTGTTTGTTTTAAGTTTTTAACTTAAAAAGAATGGCAAACACTTTAACCCATACAGAATATTTAATAAAATCCTCATTGCAACATATAAACTAATATTTTAAAATGTAGATAGGCATATGTGCCACCTACAGTCCAGACTCTGTGTGTTTATCCGCAAAGTGGATTTTCCTTTGACAAGCAAATGGTATTTACCAATATCACAGCATTTTCTGTGAAATAGGCCCTTAAGAAGTGTCTGTTAACTGAATTACTGGAATTGAAAATATTTAATTTTAATCCAATTTTCTTTCTCAAAAGAAAGTTTCTCAGTGTTCATGGAAAATATCTTGACCTTCATGAATACTTAAATTAGCCAAAGGAAAAAATATAAGTCCAATAAATAATTCACATCACAGTTGTTCATTTAAAGCAGTGTGCCACTTTTGAGTTAATTATGGTGGTTTAATTTTTAAGCATTAAGGATTGAATTCTAAAGAGTTTTGTTGTTATTATTTTCTTTGGCTTAAAGTAGCTTCTAGAACATTATTCATTTATTTGCAAGGCCACATTGGGCTTAAAAGTGTTTCTGGCTTTGTATGATTATATTTGTTCCTGAAGGCAAACCTCATAATTCAAATTCTACTATTAATTCAGATAACTTAATAGGAATTGGTATCTATACTTAATTTTATTTGAGAAATACCCTATTAATCAGACAAAATAATAATCAAGAAAACCATAAGTATGTCTCATCAATTATAGATGAGAAATAAAAGCAATATTATGTATCATATAGAGAGAAATATAAATGTTTATATCCATAAACATAATTTTAAACAAGAACACAGTAGTAAAAAACATGTTCTAAAACACCAGAGATAGAAAACACTAAATAGTTGTAAATGGCATTTTTTAAGTCTAAAATTAAGATTAAGTGTGGCATGAATTATCAAAGGAAACTTATTTTACTATTAGCAAGATTTATTTTAGAATCTGAGTTCTCTATATATCATATATTCACCAAAATAAAGTAAAGGCTTAATTGAATTCATCTTGACCAGCAATTGAATGTTAATCCTCATTATTTTGGCTTCCCCTGTAATAAACTCTGACACCAGCATAATTAATTTCCACCTATCAACTCATCTAAAACTCATCTAGAAGATAAATTTTACTAAAACTGTAAAAGGAGTTTTGAATAATGTTTACTTCCCAGTGCCTAACGAAGGTACCATTATAGCCTAGAGATTTTGTCAGCATGAAGATAATTTCAGATCACATCTAGTACTACTTTACATAGTGCCACAATATCATCCCACCAACAAGCAGGAAGAAAGGAAAACTAAATATAAGGGCTTTCTGTTCATTATCACCGAGGCAACTATCTTCAAAAGCTGATCTTCTTCCTCTCTACCGCATAGCTTGAATGTCATTTCCCTCCAATTCACCGACCCATCCATATTTTTTTCTCTCTCCCTAGTGATAAATAACTCCAGACTTCACAATGAAATTCATTCCAGTCTCTTATCTCAGCTACTAAGTTACACTTTCTGTCAATAAAAGACTTTATTATATTTTTTTTCTACAGGGAACTAAGTTTCGAAATGGAAATAGTCTTAGAGGGACCAATTTGGCAAATTCCATATAAAAGGAGGAAAGTTGTATAAAAAACTTGACCATCTTAGTTTGGTCTAGGCATGATTATTAAGAACAAAAGTTGAAACAAGGAACAAGCAATAAAACACAATTCTCAAAATTTTCCTATACTTAATATTTTTTTTAAAATGTTTTCCTCTTAAGTGTGTATCTGCCACTCTTTTACTTGCATGAAAAAAAAGGCTGTGGGTTGAAATAACTGAAAAGTGGGATGACTTCAGCATTCCTATGATAATAGTAATTGTTGTTTTTAACCTTCATTGTTTTGTAGGTATTAAGGATCTAAGATGATTATTAGCTCATTAACGTGCTAATGTTGAATATTGGAATGTAAATTTGCATCACCATGATCACTTATACAACCTGGGATATCTTTTAACCTTAATAATTTTCTACACCTTGAACTCAATGCAGATGTTAATTTTGGTTTGTCTAACAACAGACAGAAAGAGTGTGGATTCAGATGGGAGGGGATGAGGGGGGACCTTGGAGGAGTTGGGGGAGGATGCTAGACAGAACATATTCTATTAAAAAATCTATTTCAAATAAAAGAAAAATATGAAAAAAGAAAATTATTGGTATTAAATCCTATATTTGTTTTGTACTTTTCCTTGAATTTAGGTTAAGTGTTGAATAGTAAAGTTGTTGTGCCTATAGTTTAGAAATCATCTGTATCTTTGAGGAAATCTTTTTTTCCTAAGTTTCACTGTACATTTTAAAGATGTTGCTTCATATTCTACTAGAATTATGGGCTTTGGAAAAATAACATGCACTCTTTCCAATTGATATAATAAGGTAAGATAGGATAAGAGCACAGTCATTGCTTTATGAGGTCCTCACAGTATAAATATCTTGAAAATACAATTTCAGTTTGGATAGAAGCTCACAGAAAGCTTAAAGATATGTACATTTAATATAAAGAGCATTAAAGAATCAAAATAGGCATTAAGCTGTCATTTTATATCATCTTTCCACGTTATTTTTCATGTACGTGCAAGACTATTAGCACAGGTATTGATGTTAAAAACAAAATCAACAAAAATCTTAGAAACTATTTCATTTTCAAGAGTGTCTTAGAGATCCATCTTTCGTAGCTTTCATATAATACTTGCTTGCCTCTTTTTTTCCCATTCAAATGCTATAACCTGTCCTCTACCAACATTCCATAAATTGTTCAACTAGTATATATAAGAATCAATGTGTCATTTTGACACAAAAGAAAATTCTAAGACATGTGCACTTGTCACTTACCCAGTATCAGCATACTATTAGCCGAATACAAATAACTACACATCACTCCATGTATGCCATTGTCTTTATCCTTCTACTTAGCACAAAACACCTGTTTGGTCCCAATATGAATCGAACCAGTGGGGAAACTGTTCTAAAAATAAACCTTTTGCATTTAAGTTGATGACTACTTTTGTCGTTAAAGGCAAAATGGTTTGCCACTTAGAATACATCTTTCAATCAACTTCAATTTAAAAATGTGCCTTCTTATGCTCTGGTTAGGTAATGCAAATCGCTGGAATGGCAAACAAACCTTCTACAGGCACTAGTAAATGAAAAAAAAAATAGGTAAGAGACAGAATTTGGGAGACTGTCTGACTGTCCAACCCTACTTAACTGCAGTCCACCAAGAGCTACCCTGTAGATTACAACAAATGAAGTAAAATAGAAAAGAAGAAAAGGAGGAGGAGAAGGAGAGGGGGAGGAGGAGGAAGTGAGGTTTCAGATTTGTTTCTTTTTATCCCAAACAAGCTGGAATAGCTATCTTTTATTACCTGGGAATGGTCGCTCCAAACCAAATTTTGGTAGGAGGAGGCAGTTTTGAGTGGGGAGAGCACTTCCCTTGAGCCGAGGGGGTCCAAGGCCTGTACCACCTTGTTCATAGGCCCACTGTAGGTCCTCACCCGCTCATACACTACATTTTTTTCTGGAGGCTGTTGGGCTTGACTTGACTGATGGTAACAGTGGTAATGCTGAGGCTGACACTGCAGCACCTCCGTGGGCTGCTGGGTCCCACAGCTGCTGCTGCTGCTCTCACTCCAATAGCTTGAGCTCATCATCTTCGCAGTGGTCAGAAATGGTTTTCCCCAGGTGCTCTCCCTAAGGAATAAACAGAAAATGGTGATAACAGGGCAGGCAGGCAAGCAGGGACAAGCAAATCGGCCTTTATCAACCACCTTTTATCCCTTGTGGTGCCAGTAAGAGATGAGTTACCTGAGCAGCAGCAGGAGCAGGTCTGGCAGCTGCAGAGTAGACAGCAAAGTATTTGAGCTCAAATGAAAAGTGGAGCCACCCTGGGAGATTGCTCCAGGAAATGGTACTGACACGCCCCTGAGGGGCGGATTCACCTGGCAGGTTTGCGTGCCAGAAGAGGCCCTGCCTTGCCACAGAGATAGCAACAAGACTTCCCAGTAGGTAAAGGAGTCTAGGGAAAAAAAGAGACAGAAGAAGTTCAGAGCAGGAGCTCCTAGGCCTGGAAATCTGAAGACAAAGACACCAGTGTCCAGACTTGTTAGAGAAAACAGAGAGACTTTCCCATGGCTTATAAATTTAGCGAAGGTGGTTTCAAGCCTAAGTACTCATTCCAGAATCTCAGACCAAATTAAAGGGTGTTAGCCTAGGGACAAACTAATTTTAAGAGATAAATTTGCATTCTTCACAAACTCCTGGTGATAATGCAGATAAAGTAGATTGCCATGGGGACACCAAGAAAAATTTCTCTAATTCGTGAATCTGTTTATCTGGCTCCAGTCCTAGTATGTTTTTTTGAAGGACATTGACAGAGATGTATCCAAATGATTCAATTTGTCTGGAAATTTGAGGGGTGTGGTGGGAATGGTTCAGGAAAATGCTCTGAGTTTGGCTTTTTGCTTTTATCGGTGTACAATTTTACAAAGGAACTTGCTCTGACAATTTTTGTGACTTAGGAAGCAAAGTTCTGCTGTTACTTTAATCTCCATTTTTTAAAAGAGCTGTTAGCCTTTAAGGTGCCTTTTGAGACAAGCTGGGGTTTAACTGTGTTCAACACCTATTTACAACCACTTGCAAATCCAATCACAATGGTATTTACCAACCAAGTAATGCCTTGCAAGTTACTCCAGCACAACTCAACTGCAAAATACTACCTGAGGGCTCCTTCAAAAAAGGGTGTCTTTGTTATGTGTATATGAACCTTGGGACTACCATTTCAGACAGAAAGGAGATAATATTTTTTATCTGGGTAGCTATCATTGTTTTTTCTAATAAGCAAATGCATGCTAATGATTTACTAGTCACTGTGTGCTGGATCACATTCAAGAAACATTATATAAATTACTACACTCTCACAACTTTATAAGGATTTACTGGTGAGAAACAGAGGCACAGATCAAGAGTCATGGAAAAAACTCTCCACAGTTAAATAGGTATTAAAGATGGTTCTGGAATCTGAATATAGGAGTATTCACATCAGAGGGTAAACTTTTGAAATACATTTATACTGTTAAATCAAATTTTATTGTTTAAAACATAGACATTTAAGAAATCTCCTAGGTGACTGAGGAAGAAAGACACATTAGAAATAACAAGTTACAACAGAATTTTAAAAGTAATGTGAACTGTTATGCAAAGAAGGTATATGCAAAATTAACCTCTAAAATGCCTTAACATACCTTGTTATTACACATTTATTGCTACTTGCAGAGCTTTCAGACACAATTCTTGTTCATTTAGATGTTGTCCCAGAAAAGTCAATGTAAATTAACTGGGCTTGGTGGTACATGACTATGATCCCAGTACCTGTAAGGCTGAGATAGAAGGATTGCCATGAGTTTGAAGTCAGTCCCAATTAAATAATGAATTCCAGTCCAGTCTGGGCTACAGTCTGAAAACTTGTCTCAAAATCCAAAAATAATAAAATAATTCATGAAAATTAACTAGAAATATATGGCCAACCAAGTAAATAGGTATAATATCAGATCATCACCTAATTACTAACATTGGTTATACCATTTTGCATAAACTCCAAGATTGGGGCAAGATATAAATGGCACCATCTAGTTAATACCAACTGAAACCTGAATTTTACATATACACACATGCTGTTAGCGTTTGCTGCTACTCAACAATAACGTTGTATGTGATGAAGAAATTGAGGTGAAGGGTAAAAGTATCATACCCATAAAATTCTGATTATCTGCCCTCTACATTTCTTGGAAATAGTGGCAGTCAACTTTGATGTAGTTGGGCTACAATTAATGTGTGAAATTGAACTCATTCATTTTTTTTTCCTTTCCTTTTTTTCTTAATTTATATATTGATCCTAGTTTCCACTTTCTTCCTCCCTCATTCCCTCCCTCCCATTCCCCCTGACCTTCTCCCATCCCATACCCCCCCTCCACACTCCACAGGGAGGGTGATGCATTCCAGGAGGGATCAACAAAATCTGTCATTTGGAGTAGGGACTAGGCCCCTCTCCTGCCTCTAGACTAAGGGAGTATCCCTCCAAGGGCGACATGCTCCCAAATTCCTTTTGTGCACCAGGGATACATCCTGGTTCCACTGTCAGAGGTCCCTTAGACTGCCCAGGTCTTCTAACTGAGACCCATGTTTAGGGGGCCTGAGTCGGTCCAATGCTGGTTTCCCAGCTATCAGTCTAGGGGTCCATTAGCTCCCCCCTTATTCAGGTCAGCTGTCTCTGTGGGTTTCTCCAGCCTGGTCTTGCCCCCATTTTCTTATCACTCCTCCCTCTCTGCAACTGGATTCCAGGAGTTTGGCTCAGTGTTTAGCTGTGGGTGTCTGCTTCTCCCAACAAATATTTTAAATTAATTTTGTGTATGGGTGTTTGGCCTGCACTTATGTCTATGTGCCATATCCATTCAGTATCACAGAGGGCAAATTTTTAAGTGGTTTACTTCATTGTTTCCCATCTGTAGGAATAAAGAATGAAGCTTGAAGCTCAAGAATAAAGAAATGATCTTAAGTACCATGTGACAGATACATCACATCAAATTACAAAGCAGATCCTGGCCATACTTGTTCAATTCCAACAATTTAATCAGTCATTCCCAAGATTCCATTCCTTCTCTGAGAAAGCCTTTGCGAATTCATGATATGCATTGCCCATTATTTTTATTGATAAATATGTATAAATGTACTTTTTCTATGTAATAATATACCTACAGCATTCACTCTTGAAAACCTAGTGTATTGACACTGTGTTCTACAAGCTTCATGATTGCACTCTCCTTTTACATTTGATATATGTGGTAACAAGAGTTCATTTCTTATATTTAACACCATACTTGTTCAGAGAAGTCTTGATTATATTTCCAGCAGTCTTTTGTTTCACTCTGTAATACAGATATTTTATATTTTATATCAAAACAACTAATTTAGGATGTTTGATTTGGGGGAATATAACACATATTTTCTAAGAAGATAATTTGATTTTAAAAGAGCTACAAACTGTATTCACTTTTCCTAGCTATAAAAACAATTCATTCTTTAAGAATTCAAATGAAAGTGCTAGGGTAATGGTTCAGCTATGAAAAGTACTTGCCGCTTTTGCAATAGACTGGGTTTAGTTCCCAGCACCCACAAGGTGGCCACAACCATCTGTAACTCCAAGTACAGGGTAATTGATGCCCTCTTCTGTCCTCTGAGAATACCAGATATGCACATAGGACACATACATACATACATACAAAATATATACATACACACACACAGTAAATAAAATGTTTTAAATCTAAAAAAGAATACTACAAGATCCAGAAATCACTCTTAGGCATTTACTAAAAGATGCACATTCATGCAACCAGGACATATGTTCAACTATGTTCATAGCAGCCTTATTTGTAATAGACAGAACCTGGAAGCAACCTAGATCCCCTTCAAATGAAGAATGGATAAAGAAAATGTAGTACATTTACACAATGGAGTACTACTCAGAGGGGGTGGGGTGGGGAACTAAATGGAATCTTGAAATTCACAGGCAAATGGATGGAACTAGAAGAAACCATCCTGACTGAGGTAATCCAGTCACAAAAAGACAAACAGGGTATGTACTCCTTCACATATGGATTTTAGACATAGAGCAAAGGATCACCAGCCTATAATCCACACCACCAGAAAAGCTAGGAAATAAGGAGGACACTAAGATTGACATACATGATCCCCCACAGAAGGGGAAAGGGACAAGATCTCCTGAGCAAATTGGGAGCACGGGGGAGGGAAGAAGGATTTAGGAGAAAGAGAAGGGGAGAAGAGAAGAGAACATGAGGGAGCAGGAAGACTGAGTCAGCGAAAGAGTAGAGCAAGAAAAGAGATACCGTAATAGAAGGAGCCATTATAGGTTTAAAGAAAAATCTGTCCAGAGACCTACAAGGATGACCCCAATTAACAATCTAAGCAATAGTGCAGAGGAAAGGCTACCTTAAATACCCTTCCCTGATAATGAGATTGATGACTACCTTACATGCCATCATAGAGCCTTCATCCAGTAGCTGATGGAAGCAGAAGCAGACACCCATAGCTAAACACTGACCAGAACTCCTGGAATCCAGATAGAGAGAGGGAGGGTTGATGAGCAAACAAGTCAAGACCAAGTTGGAGAAAACCATAGAAACAGCTGACCTGAACAAAGGGGAACTCATGGATACCACTCTGATAGCTGGGAAACCAGCATCCCAGACCCCCTGAACATGGGTGTCAATTAGGAGGCCTAGGCAGTCTATGGGGCCTCTGGTAGTGGATCAGTATTTATCCCTACTATGCAAATGGACTTTGGGAGCTCATTCTACATAGAGGGATACTCTCTTAGCCTAGACATATTGGGGAGGGGGTAGGCCCTGTTACAAATGACATGACAGACTTTGAAGATCCCCCATGGAAAGCCTCACCCTCCCTGGAGAGCAGAAAGGGGATGAGATTGGAATTGGGGGGGGGCAGGGGAGGAGGGAAGGGCGAGGGGACTGGGATTGACATGTAAAAAAAGTTTGTTTCAAATTTAAATAAAAATATTATCTAAAAATATTTAAAATGGAAAACAAGTTAAAAATATAAGTTACTACATACGCAAATAAAGTAGAAAGTGAAATTCCCATATTAATGATAGACATTAAGAATTGAAATATAGACTAAATACATTAAAGATAATAAAAATGTAATTCACATTTGGCTCAGCTGTCTTAAGGGTCTTTAAAAAGTACTGATTTGCCCTAGAGAGGATATTGGATAAACCAACTCAGAGTCTTTTATAGTTAGAACACAAAACACTTGTTTAAACACAGTTATGTGGG